AAAAACGAAGCCAAGCATGTAACGCCCCTGGGCTAGGAGTTTCCAGTCCCGGTACTGATGCGCCTCCGAAGAGGCACGACCTGATTGCGGCATGGGTTAAATTTTAAGCTCTTCCCACAGAGAGCGTCGAACTTCACCAACGCCTCCACCACTTTGATTCAGGGCGACAACTGACTCTTGCACCTGACCGAAGCCAACAGCTCCCTGCGGTTACGCTGAAAGCTACTGTCGTTGGAGCACAAACATACACACCCGTCAGACCGTGGCAACGCCCGCAATCAGCGACCACTAGACAACCTCTGCCTGACTATCACGGCGTTCATGCGATCCTTTGAACGTGACGCTCGGCGCTATGAGGGGCCAGATGACGAGCCCTTTGGAGGCATTTCAATGCCCTATTGAAGAGCACCAGGGGAACTGCGCAGGGGAATTCCCTGAGTTCCTCTGCACAGTAAACTTCAAAACATCTATATAGGCTTAACCGGCCCTTTATCACTTTCCCTTGAAAAAAACAAAACAAAAAAAAAGAAAAAATACACGGACTGAATTACAGCCTGTATGCTGACGACGTCACACCCTGGGTGGCTGGCGGCAGCGACGGGCACACGCAGGACACACTGCAGCAGGATAAACGCAGTGGAAGGGTACGTGGAACCGAAAGGCTTAAGCTGCTCCCCACAAAAATCGGAGCTGCTCCTTTATCGGCCAACCCGGAAAGGACAGAAAAAGGAAGCGACCACTCAAAACCCAAAAATTCAGCTATACGCTTCCGGGGGGCTGCCCATTCCGGTGGTACACTGCATTAGGGTCTGCAGAAAAACGGCCACAACATCTAGACAGTCCGGACACTCGAAAAAAGTGTGTATCAAAGCACCCGCCTCATTTCGCGGATAGCCAATCGGAATCAAGCAATGAAGCTTGAGGACAACTTAATCAGGCAGGTTCAGGCATTCGTCCTAAGTCAAGTAAACTACCTCGCTCCCTTCCTTGATCTCAAAGCGGTTGAGCGCAATAATATCAGCGCTTTAATAAAAAGGGGTTACAAGCAGGCAATCCGCATACCAATCATGACCTCCAACGACCGCTTTGAAGCACTAGGATTGCACAACACGCTAGACGAGGTAGTAGATCAGCACAGAGGATAGCGCAGATGGAAAGGCTTACCAAGAGTCCGAACAGACACTACATACCTACTACGAAGGAAGATTCGGGGAGAAACACGACATTCCACCCGACATCAGGGGGCAATACACATCCCACCATTACCATGAAACATGCACCCCAAACACAATACGGGACTCGGGCATGCAAAAGCGCAAGCACTAGACAAGAGGTTAGCACACCTCGAGGACGTGGTCTACGTGGACGCCGGAGACTACAGCAGTCATGGCGCCATGGCCATATCGCTAGTTGACCGATAGGGCAAGTTAATCAATTCTGGCACAGTCTTCACGACTTCACCAGACGTCGGGGCGGAAGCAGCCATTGAACTGGCAATGACCTCGTCCTCCCGGATCAAATTCAGAGCAAGCGACTCCAAACCGGCAATTTTAAATTACACTTGGTGACGCATATCGTCCGTTGCACTAAAAATTCTGCGGACCGGTTTCCATGAAGATCGAGTTCGGGGAGTCCAAATCGTGTGGGCGCCAGCTCACTCTGGCCTCCGGGGGAACGAGAAGGCGCACGACGCGGCTCGAGGCTCAACCGACCGGGCCGTCGTCACCAACATCTTTGACACACACTCGTTGCGCTGGTCGGACAAAGAAAGGCTAATTGCCTACCGGGACGTAATTAACCTCTACAGGCTTGGAAGGGTTGAATACCCCGCAGCAGACAGGACGCTGCCCAAATGGCAGGCAGTGGCGTGGCGCCTTGTTCAAACTAATACATTGTTAAACTTAGTGGCGTACAGCCGCTGCTATCCGGGGCTTTACTCCAGCGCATGTAAGCATTCCGGGGACAGGGCCGACCTGCAACATATGGTCTGGGCCCCTGTACCTTTAAAAAATAGAGAAATAACATAAATATAGCTCAAAGTTTACTGTTAAACATTAGGACCTCCGAGCAGTGAGACACCCTGATGCGCAGCTCGGACCCGGGAGAACACGTCCGCCTGGTCCAGATGGCCGAGGCCACCGCCAAGGAACAAGGACTCCTGGCCGCCGACTGAGGGGGGAGAGCGATGGCTCTTTCTGCACTCCATCTTCCCTGACCCCATCTATGGACAAATAAGATTTGTCATCATCATCAGTTTTGTCAAGGTATATGTGTGTAGACATACTTATGTCAAGAGTGCCCATACCTCTGTGGAGAACCCGAGGTCGTTGGACTCAACAAAGGTTTCTCTAGTACATATGCTGCATTGCACGAAAAAAAAATGTGCGAAAGAAGGAACTTTTTTCATGCAACACACTGAAATATTTCACACACAAACATCACAGCCAAGCTTTGACTTTCCGATAAAAACATATTTTTATTATCAGTTTTGCCAGGTTAGAAATAAAAGAAGCGCTAAACTTAGGAGAGGCGCGAATGGCAATGTAATGCAATTGTATAATATTTATTAGTCCATAAACACTATAAATTAATAAAATAATGCTAAAAAAAAAGCACTTTTGGCGCCGAGATACTTGGTTTCGGGCCCTCTAAACGTTTCCGCTCGTGACGTTACGAGCAGAATTTTTCTCGTCGTGGGGGTCACAAGTGGCATTCTTGCCTTCTTATTATCAGTTGCGAACTAAGCTCGATGGTGCGTGTTAAAAAGCACGATAGAAATTTTGAATCATCGCGTTCATAAAACATCACCGTCAAAGTTAATAAAGACATCATAGTGAGCGTTTGCCCGATCACGAATGCCGATCACAGAGACGCTCTTGGGTGCCAATGTTCCCAATAGCCTATCCTGTTTCTTTTTCTATAATGAGAAGTTCTCTGTGTCATGTTCCACGACCTAAAAGTCTTTATTTATCACCACAGTCGTGGCTTTTACAAAATATGATTAACTATTGCCAGCTCACACGCACATAGAATCTCTTTTCGTTAGACTATATCTGTAGACAAAACGATTTCATCACCATTGGATGTGTGTAGTACACTCCCGAGTGATCTGTTGCTGCCGATACCAGGTGTGTTGCCATACCATGCCGACGTTATTCACCATGATCCGCACATAATTATGTTTTGCAGTAGCGGTTTCTCGTCGTCTAGCAGCACTTGTAACTTCCAATGTTCCTGTCTCGAAGTTTCGGGTCCTATAGCAACTTCCGGAAAAAAGGATGTAAAAACCAAAACTTTGAGATTTGGCAGCTGTGACTTTCGGTAACTGTCTTAACTAGCGCGTGATGCGTGTGTTAAGAACGTAAGCGATTGCATTTAAGCAATATTGCTGAATGTACAAAATCGTTGCACCGCCTGTTTTATATATTCAGTTCCTTTTGATCCAAACAGCAAATTAAGAATTACTCGGCAAGCAAGTGCACTGCTCCACGATTCATGCGGCTCCCGGCTACCTTTTAACAATAACAATAAATCATCGTTGAAGTGCACGACGACTTTTGTAATGTATTATTTTTCAAGGTTGGCTCCTTACGCGTTGAATGACGCGAGCAATACATTTACATTATCCGATGTAGAAATGATTTCCAATTTGTTTTTTGCTGCAGCTGCTTTAGCAAAACGTATTATGTTCTTTCTGTTGCGCTTGACGAGGATTGTTCATATGAATTAGCAACTCCGCTTGAAGTTGATCAGATATTCCCCAGACATATGAGAATGCTGGCTACTCCTGAAGTATATCAGTTCTTCTATTTACGAGCATCTATATTTTTTATTCTCGCAGAAGTATGGAAATGATTCCCAGGGGTCGCCCTAAAACTGTGAATGTTGGAAATGGCGTATTGGGAAAGAAAACCAATATGAAAAATAACTATTTAAAACTCTCGCCCGAATCAATCACATAGTTGTCAAAATGGTGCACAGCTGCAACATCCATGGTGTTAACTGGCCTTGGGTTGATGGTCCGGCAGGGCAGGCTGTCGACGTCTTGAGGGAGCTTCACACAATTACAGGTTATGCTCAAATCACTTTCTTCCATTCTAAGGACGTACTTCTAAAACAAGGGGCAGGCTTTTTCAAACACAGAAGTCTGCTAAAGCGTGATAATCAGTGATCACAAAAACGAAAGAGCGACAAAACATGTACGATCGAAATTTGGTGACTACCGAGACAGCAGGTAAACACTCGGGTTTCTTGCGGGTAGAAAAGTATTCACTCAGCTTTTCCGGCCTGGAGCTAGTAGAAAACATAATACAAGCTGTCGTTTTTCTAAATAGGTACTGGTCTTTCTAGTTATTACTGCGATCGCCACTTTTTAGCCTCCTCATTGTAACTATTTTGATATGCAACACAATACGCTTGCACGCGTGAGGGTAATTAATGAATAAATATATTGGAAACAAAAATATGGATGTCCCCCAAGGGAAATCAAACCCTGGACACCATGAATCGTGAGCCCTACCTTCAAATACCGGGCCACGAGAGAAACATTTTGTATTAATTGCACGAGCCAAGGTGGAGATTTTGAAGCGATATTTATTAAGTAACCTTTTATCGCCCTATCGCGTGCATCGACAGGTCGCAGTACCGGGCGCTCCTTGATGTACCGCAGTCGTCACAACGCCATGCCAGAGGAACAACGTGTGTTTCTTGGGTTTAACGTCAGGGATCTGTTCTAATCTGTATTCGCCCAAATTATAAAAATCGCTGCATCGTCCCTTTATTAGCGGCATGTTGCCTAGACACGCACTGCTATTGCAATTCGACGTAGTCTGCACCCAAGCACCGCAGAAACGTAAGCCCCGTGGTTTTAATCACAGCAACCATTTTGAAGTCACGAATGTTTATTGAAAGAAATGCTCATTTTATTGCCATTTTTATTGTGATAATACAGACACCAAGCACATGTTAGGTACTCCTAGCTAAGTTGACTTTTTTACCACTAGTATTTTTTCAAGCACAGGAGACTGCAAGAATTCTTCCGGAGATATTACACGGCACAAAGTCCTGCTGCTTTCTGCAGTTGCCCGAAATCCTCCGCAGTGTTTAAATGGCTGTCTTAGATACTGTACTGGTTCTGATTTACGGAGCAACAAAAGACAACGTTCAAAGACACGTGAAAGATGGTTTGAGCGCGATGTCCGATACAGAGACGGGAAGTGTATTTGTTGAAATTATTGTGCTAATTGCTTGCGTTTACGTCACACTATGCGGCGTTATCTGTTTTATCTATCTTGTCGCAATCTTCCTTGTCATAAAATCGGTGTGTCGGATATCCGCAGTTGAGAATAAATGCGTATCGACAGCTGGACGGAAGTTCCTTAAATAAGGAATCATACAAATACGTAGTTTTACTCGAACTGTCCAATTCCTTCTTCTTTTCCTCGGTTGCTTCGCTTCCTGCTCTTGTATTGGCTTGGGGAATGGTCACATTGTTTAACAAATCTTCTCTCAACCAGAATTCGCAAGCTGGAAAAAAAATAACGATATTTTGAGGCAAAAGGAAGAACGCGCATTTCAGTTTATAACAGTTCGCTTAGGATAAAACAGATAAAAAACAATCGGTTTTATGGCGAAAATATAAATATAAGTTTGCCCAACCAAAAAAAGTTGAATAGAGAAAAAAAAAAAGAGGATACTTCTTTTTAACTTTGCAGAAAAACAAAATTAAAACACGATTCAAGATTAACAGACAGTGTAATCGTTGTAATATGCTCTCAAAAATATGACATTAAGCACTTCAATTGATTTTTCTGTGATTTTAAATTTTATGTTCACCAGTGTAGCTATCGCTGCGTGCTTTTGCGATCTGTAATGCTGCACCATATCACCGCTCTCCTGGTTTTTAGGATCCGAACACATTTATTAAGGAGCACTTTCAATATGGGCATGTCTATGAGAATTAAGACAAAGATTGAGCAAAATGGCTGCCGTCCTTTTCCCGATCAACGTGCAATAAGGGGTTTTAACTTCGCCACTTGAATATGTCTTCTTGTTTTTTGCAACAAGAGTGAAGGTAAGGAGTTAGGTGTAATGTCAGGAAAACCAAAGTCTAATTTTTCATCCACGGCCTTTTGTATTAATAGAAATAAAATACTAAAATCAGAATACGCGATAGGACACACGACTCGACCGCCGGTCTCTGCAAGCAAAACTGATTGTACCCTTGTATTAGGGGCCTTTCACTGCATTATTTCCATCGGCTGTTTTATTTTTCATATCCTATATATTGACTGAAGCTTCGAATATTAGGTGCAGCCGGGTGGAGGCAAATTCAGATATCCAACATTTATGACCCGTGAAATACGCACCTGGAGATGAATTTGCATAATTAATAAACTATAGTGTTCTCCGGCCTATTGCTACATTGAATTCATACTTCATTTATGTCTTTCTGTTTCAATTTTAGTGGGGAAATATAAGTACAGTATCTTTTAAAATTAGTATTGGGCGAACATGGTAGCTACACAAGCGTTAGGACTGCAATTCTTCGCCAGGTTCGTGGCTGAGTGGGCAATGTCCTTGCATCTATGCAATTTCAGCTCCCAATGATTGTTTGCGCTTCACCTGCCCGGGTGGAATGCTCGAGTATATTCACCAACCGTTGACCTCACAAGGACCGCTTCAGACTTTGGCATGAGTCTAAAAAGAGTCATATAATTCTCCGCATGGGGTCAGCACCACGGTAGTGTGCAATTCAGCCGACAACAACGCATCCGATACACGCTTGTTTGGAGCCGAGCTTCAAGAGCTAGTCTGGCCACCATGGATGAAACACACTTTGTTTTTTGTGCCAGTCTGGAATCCGTGCGTACCCCTCAGAAATGCTTGACTCTCACAGGGTATCACCACACATGCAGCAAGATGGCGGCGCTCAGAAGCCGTACTTGCAAACGTCTATAGATCCCTCCAACATTCAGCTTCTGCGCGGTGTCATCCTTGTCTTCTTGTCTGTAGAACACGTTCTGAGCATGCGCAGTTGCTTTCTCATGTGGAACATCAGGCTGCGCGTATGCGCCCACATCCCACTGACTCGGCATTTTTAATCTGGGTGATAAGCGCTGGAAAGGTTTACTGCCTTTAGCTTGTATGGAAGTGGGCTCTCGCGTCATTCGTGTCAGTTGATTCTGAAGAGGCCACTTATACACCTGGGTTGCACGTGACGTCATTCAAACAGCGCTCCGATAACCACAAGAGAAGAGGGGAAGAGCGAGCTCCCCTCTTATCAGGATCCTCTTTTGTGCCTCCCAGATTTGCACAAACGTCGCTATTCTCCTCCCAGGAGGTTATAGAAGATTAATAACCCGTCCCTTAAAATTCTTACAAAAGCAGCTCACTTCTCCTCTTACATGGTGGTCTGAAGTGTGCGATGTGACTTCAGTGCAACCCATGTGTCTATCTTTTTGTTATGTCTTTGTCTTAGGGCGCAGTAAACATGTTACACTTATCGTCCTTTGCTCGAATGACTTTGTCTCGACCTTTGGGTGATTTTCGCAATCATTGAAGGCTTAGTTGTCAAATTCTGGACGGCATGTGGCTGGAAAAGTGTTTGAGTTGGTATTAATATCGAAACGACTTTGAGTATCTTGCTAAAAGTTATGTTTGGGCTAGTGGGTTTACAAGCATCTCGGCCCGACAAAACAAGGACAAAGAAAAACGAGAGACACGACAGCGCTGCTTTTTGTCTCGTCTCTACTTATTTCTTGTTTTCGGTCGCACTGTTTTAAACAAAGATATTGAACATTTTGCATATACTTAAATTCAATTACTTTCATTTTCTGCCTAAAAATGTTCTTAATAAGTTGCCACTGTAGGAGAAATCATTTCATTATACTCACATGCATAGTCGTTGTCATTTTGCAGTGATCTCGTTATATGACAAAAGGAATTGCTGAATATCACGTATTTTTCTGAATATGTCGTGTAGAATTTTCGCCAACATTCCGGGTGATATATAATGCAGCCTAGTGACTTGCAGAAGAAGTTGAAAATGAGATCGTAGCAGCTTCCCTTTGGTGATGTGGCTTTACTCTTAGGCTGGCCTTGAAAAGAAAAATGGAAGATAATTTTTTTTAATTAAGTGGTGCGTTGTGAGCTTGACACAATACGCACGGATAGGGTTTGAGTCAGGGCTTGGCGTGTAGTGTTAACGCCCAAAATTACGCAGTGAAAAATAATTAAAAAAATGCCGCAAACCGCTATAATTGCAGTCAACAATAAACGGCATCAGCAATTAGACAAAACAAGTAAAGAAAACAGAAGATGAGTATGTAGCCCCGGATAATAGAACCCGTTGAAAAGTGTGCACACCAATAGATGCTGGGTCAACTATTTGAGCACGCCGTTGTTTGAGCACGTGCACTGAGCTGATCTTAAAGACGAGTGCTGCATCAGCGGTCGGGAAAGACTCGGATTAAATCCCACGCTTCGTGCCCGAAAAATGGCGACGGCCAATGCTTCTTTGATGAACTTTTGAAAATAGTTTATTGCGCTGATCATTTAAAGAGTAACTGCAAAAAAAAAAAAAAAAGCTTTTTTTTTTAACAGCCTAATTGGGACAAGCATGTCAAAAGACAATCTTTTCCGCGATGAAAAAATATTTGTACGGCAATATTTATTGCGTGAAACTGATTTTAGTTTGCGGCTATTTCTCCCGTTTTAAATCGCGCGCCACAAAGTTGGGATTCCGGTACGTTGAATCCCAATCGGCAGCTATACTTCTCATTGGCTAAGGGTTTGATTGAAAGCTTAGATCTTGGTTGTTAAAGCTTTTTTATATGGTGCAATTTCCTTTTGAGCGGCATATTTTGACGTTTAAAGAATAACCCATGTGATGAGAGTTATTATTCTTTACAAGATGTTTACAAGACGGGCACTTCCGCTTGGATTCATACCATAAGAAACAAAAGCTCATTCTTTCATGGCCGCCGAAGTCTCCACCACCGCCTGTCTCGCCTACCTCGACTAATCGTTTCGCCGAAGTGATCAGTGTTTCGTGCTGACCCAGGTGCTTGAGTGAGACTTCTTGAAGTGAAGTAGTGTGTGTTTAGCAGCTATCGCAGGTGTTAGTGATAGGAAGCGATGCGGGGTTTTGGCTTTCATAGCGCGGCTCTTTCGTTTTCCTCTTTGCTCGCTTAGCGTGTTTTTTTTTCGTTCTTTTCCGCTCGCGCGTGCAAATGCTGACTTTTCGGAGATGTCAGATGAGTGATCCTGACAGCGAGCCTTCCAGCAGCCATGTCACCCCGAAAGGAATGCTAATTGGCTGGAGGCAATCGAGCGTTCGCGTAGCGACAAACATGTCCAGTTACGTTCTTGTCATATCGCTCCGGAGGCCGTGGAGATTCGCACCGGGTGCCCCGGATGCATCGAACGTCCCCGGCCAGACACAGTTGTTACGTAAAAACCCTGGCACAGCCAGATTATTACGTAATAGCTTTCCGCAGAAGCCCTCGGACGTTCGAATTCTGCGTTAGCCGACAGATTTCTTTTCTCGACTTTCGAACCATCTTACGTAAATTGTTTGAATAAATATGTACTGTTATCGTAAATCTTGGCTTGTGATCGCGGCTTTGTGGATTATCGTATTCGTTTTGCTGGAGAGACGCAAACGACGGGCATAACAAAATCGGTTGCATATTCCGCATACCTTGCGAAAGCACTTCCCCAGTCACCTTGCGAAAAGCGCGAAACACGGAGTCCGCCCCGTCCCGATTTCCTAGCCTTTTATCTGATTTAGAGCAGTTTGTACCGGCTAGTAGGTATGTCTACTGAAACTTAAAAGTAGGGGCAGTGGAAGAGAGCAAAACGACGAAGTTCGGAAAGATTGCTCGCCCTCCCCAATTTCTGAACTTTCAAGTAATTGCACCGTAATAAATGCAAAAGCCTCTTCCCAAAATAAAAAAAAAGCACTATGTTCACTACGTAAAAAATGGTTTCAATTCATGCATCTGTGGGCAGGTGGGAAATCTTGCCCTAATTTATTCACACCGCATGATGAGCGCAACACGTCGCTGTGCAAATGCAGTCCAACACGACGCATAAGAACGGCAGATTTAGGACAAAAATTCGGAGTTCATTGTTCAATTAAAACGATGTGATTTTGTTCAAAACTCCCGCAGCTTATTACTCACGGTATGCGTCGGGAATCCTTCATATTTTGAAACGGAACGAAGGAAGATTTACTTTTAAAAGCGCTTGCTGCGTCGTCCCGGACAAGTTTGACTGGATCAGCTGACGACGAAGGGACAGAACCCGTTTAACCTCAACACCACAACAGCCAATTTGCGCTCCGTATTGGGTGTCTAGTTCCAAGTACTGCACCACACACACCACGAACGTTTCAGTTCTTTGTCGCGTCGCCGTGTTGCACCAAACAGAACGAGATCGCCGAAGTCAACGCAGCGCTGTCATGAACGTTGGCTTGTGGTTGCAGACCCGTCGACCCTGTGACAACCTTCGCTTTCAAAGCACACACGACGATTATGAATGATACTCTCCGTCTTCCGGGAACATCACAGGGGCACTTCTCCGGTCACGTCTTCACTCTATGTGCTCGCAAACCTCGCAGCTTTTCGTGTACCGACGTACCAAAACAATACCGGCGTCATGTTTAGCGTGCGTTGTTGACGTTTTTGCCAGATCTTACCGAAAGTCGAGACGCTGCGTCGTTCAACTCAGCAGCCAAGTCAACAAAAAAGAGCAAATCCAAGAGTGAGGGGCGGGGCGTAGTTCTCCTGCGCGGGGGTCGAGAGAGCGGGACTTTCAAATGTGGAGATGTTCCGACTCCAACTAAACGTCCTGTGACGTAAATATTGCCAAAAAAAAATATTTTTTTCGCGGAACATTTGTTTTGTGAATGGTTGTCCCAATTAGGCTGTTTAAAAAAACACCTTTTCTTCTTTGCAGTTAAGCTTTAAGGCTCTGGTATGGTCCGACGTCGAGTGTAGCGAGCGCGGTGTAGCGCCGCGCACACAGATACTTATTGGTCTCAGATATCGACTTCTGCTCGCCGGCCAATCAAACGCGCGCGTACTGCGCTACGCTGCGTTCGCTTCGCTAAACGTTGGAGCATAACAGAGCCTTTCGACTAAGGACGTCGAATGCCCACAATGTAACCAGGTAGAGAATCCGAGCACAATACGTAAGTCTTGCGACCACATGAAAAGTTTGAAAGGGACTGTAATAAAAAAACAAAAAAAATACCAGCACCGCAGCGCGCACATCAAGCGCGCGCGAACGAAATATTTTATACTTCGTCTCACCTTAGCATGGACTAACCCCGAATGCTGTGCTAGTGCCAGCGGCTAGCCTTGACTGCCTTGTCCGGAGCACTCGCTACACCAGCGCTCGTGCAGCCGCCGAGGCTTCATTCGAAGCAACTAGATCGCGTTTTTGCACGCGCGGCAAACAATAGCCCGTACTGAGGTGAGACGAAGTATAGACGGTTACACGGATCGCTTTAATGGCTGACAGCTGCTATTTTATTGCTCTTAATTGCCGCGCTGCGGCGTTATTAGAAAAAAAACAAGCTTTTAAGTTTAGGCGTAGCCTCCTTTATACTGACAAAACCTGGCAGATTGTCACGTGACGCGGCCGCCAAAAGTGAAAAGGTAGGGCGGCAGACAACAGTCGTGTAACGGGTGCCCCTCTGCGGCGAGACGCCGAAACACACTTGTCCCGAACGATGGAATGTCCGCTCGTGCTTCTCGGGTTCCTCGGTCTACCGCTTCGTTTCCTTTCGGGCTCGAAAACCATCTTCCGGGTGCTCGCCGCAGCAAAAGCTGCGCGGTGAATATCAGACTCCCCGAGAAAGGCTCTGTGCTACCAGATCCACGCGCTTCGAATCTGCGAACGGGCACGCTATGGCTCGGCCATGGAACTGCAAGGTTTTGTTGTGAGTATTCAGGAGGCTATGGTTTAGGTAATCTGAGAACATTTAGTTGCTTCAGCTTCAAGCGAAATAAGTGTCAGAGGTACCTTAGATAGTGGCATTTTATCGATTGTTTATAATAAAACCTGGAATAATAATTTCATACTATATGGAAGTACGATCTAAAAAAAAAGAAAAAAGAAAAGGATAACTATTTCAAGGTCTGTATACAACTGAACATGCGCATATTTTGAAAACGAAAACAACGATGCATGTAATAAAAATACGTTGAATCGTTTCAATTTAGTCGTACACATGAGGAACAAAATGTTGCAGAGCAAATCAGAATTATAGTTTGAATGTCAACATTTTAGTAATGTGAGGCACTTGCATATTACCAGCGACCTCGCATTCCTGGTAAGTTTACAACGGTTTATGTGCACCGCCAAATGTTGGATACAAAATAGCTTAGTGGCGTCTATTTAAGCTAATATTAACCTCTGTGCGTCCACAGAAGTTATTCAAACAAACATGACACTGTAGTAAACCGCAGCAAAACCATAGTCGCACTCGGTACAAAAATATAAAAAAAAACATAAAGATACTTGCACGCTGCTTTAGCATGAAACATATGTGAGGGGTTAAACAAATCGATGGAGACCACGTAAAAATTCAAGACCAGTATTTTTAGTCGACGGATGGCCCGTTGACATCTTGTAAATTAACCTGTGCTTAATACATAAATAGTTGCTGCATTCATGGTGTGCCTCCCGGCGACAAAAGGTTCGCTTACAACGCTTGCCGGAAATCGTGCGGTGACGATGTAAGTGTTAATTATTACTACAAGAAATTGTAAGGTACGTACCCAGTTGCATATTATTTTCAATACTATAATCCCTTTGTTTTACAGCTTGAACAAATTGTGTTTTTGTTTTCCTGTAACACAAGATGGGGAGAAAAATACATGTGTAGACATCTTGTTTACACTTAAAGTCCGACGTACAACCTCGATTTTCTGCAGGGAAGATAATCCTCTTAGCACTCCCCTCTCCTAAGCTGTGAGTGGAGCCAATACGGGGCAAGGTAGAAAGTGGAGAAGATATAGGAAAGGAGGAGGCGTGTGAAACCTAGTTAATATTTAACAGGCGTGCGAAACCTAGTTAATATTTAACAACGTTTGTTAAATATTAATTAGGCATTATCTTTCACGCTTTTTTTAAAGCCATAGTAAAATAAGTTTCAGCCATTGTGCATTTAGCCTATTTCAAACTCATAAATCATAACTATAAAGAGTAACCAAAAGTAAACGTAAAGTTATCATTTAGCGGTTTCCGTACCTTCAGATTAGCCAAAATGATTTTAACAATATGCAATAGACTTCACACGTTCTCGGTACAAACGCCTAGCTTGAGATAAAAAAAAAAGAAACTAGTTAACAGTTTGCTCATTTTCAAATTATGTGAACGGAACCTATCAAAAGGCCTAAACTTAATTCCGTCTGTGTGTCATATACCGGCAAGGGAAAAAGAAAGGATTCTCAAGTTAATTGTTTTTTTACCTTTCCGTAGGGAGATTAAGTTAAACCTGACAATAAAATTTTTCTTCATTATAAAAAAAGAACGCTGTCTTTTAAGGAAACAATACCATCCAAGGGGCGATTGGTGGCCGAGTGGCAATAAACAAAAACAAAAAGGATCGGTGGCCGAGTGGTCTAGTGCACACCAGCTCGGAGCGCGTGGATCGAAAGCTCGCGCTGAAGAGCCCAGGATCTTAGGTTCAGTCCCCACACCTGCCCGTTTCGATCTGGATGAGCATCGTACCGGCGTGCGGTCATGCATCAGTACTGCGTGGTGCACGTTAAAGACCCCAGGCTACCGGTTGAACTACACTGGCTAAATTGCTCATCCACAGCGGGTGAGTCGTCGCAGCTTTGAAATGGCTGATTAACTACACGCAGCCATAAATATCCACACAGTCCCAATAATTATTCTTCAATACCATCCAAAATAAACTAGACACAGACACGTGATTCTGAACGAATAAACTATTTTTCTGAACTATACTACAAACATAAAATTCTTAGCCCTAAAATGTTTGTATATGCTCGGTACTATGAATGTGCCGGGTATCCGAATGCGTTATATTTGAGAAAGGACAAATAACACTGGTTCACATTTAGGTGATTATTTTTTGAGATCGTTCTTGTAAATTCTTGCCAGCTCGTAGTGGGAGCCGGCAACTTATGTCTTTTTTAGCTTTCAGTAAATGGCCCTTTTTGGTTTTTTTACACAGAACGGTGGGCGTCTTTTCCCCGTATTTTAATATTGCCTTAGTGAAATAAAGTTTCTTTTACTTTCGCTGCCTGATCAATATGGTCACATCCATGCTTTCAGTATGTGCGGATTATACACTTTAAGGGGATGCTGAACCGAAATCTGGATTCCACAAAAAATGCGGCAAAAGCGTGCAACGGGATGCTACAAACACCAAAGCATCACTCATACAGCGATATCTCAAACGAATGACCGTGTTTTTCAAGAAAAGGAGGCGCATTTCACAGAAATGAACACGTCATGTTTCTCCGAGAAGGAGAGGGAACGGCCTCGCGTCTTCTCCGCGTCGCGGCCTTGAGAGAGCGAAGCTAAGAGAGGAGGAAACTTGCTATCTTCACGTCACGCGCCTCGTCGGCTTGATTCAATCTCGACCTCTTTTTCCGAAAATACGGCCGTCCATTCGAGAAATCGCCTTACGAGTAGTGTTATAGGGATTGTAGCGTCCAGCTTACATATGCTGCATTATTGTTTTCTGAAATTGTGCCAAGTCAGACATATCGACTCAATACGGTGAGCAATTCTGTTCCAAAATGCGTCGCTGGCACATCGGAACAATGAAGGTGCAAGCCAATCAAAAGACAACCTTGCCTGAATTCGGCGAGAAACAAGAGCACTTGTGCGCGTTTTGGGAGTAAACAAACGTACGAGGTATGCAAGAAACAGACGAACTTCCACATTGTATACGCCGATACAGAATCGAGACATATACTTATTGTGGTGGTACAATAAAGTGATCATTGTCGTGTACGTATTGTGTAATTGGAGAGCATACGAAGATCTTATGTCGACAATATGTAGATAAAATGAACCGCACTGAGCGGATGATACAAGCGCTACATAGCCGGCCAAAAGACAACATCTCTGACGGCGTCGTGCTTCAAGGTTTGAGTCTCACAATTACCCTTTCAAGTATGTTACTCCACCACACCGCCTTGTCTTTTCGACGTTTCCTATTTGTTCTATGAATGCACCGAACGGGATTGAAGGCAAACAGAGGTGTTCTGGAAACACATGCCGCCGTGCGGAACGCGGTACGAAAATTGCTGGGACGTGGCACGCGTTTGTGGTCCTCCAGAGGTTCTCTCACTGTTTGTCCCGCCACGTGTACATGCATGCATGATTTCTTGTTTAGGAGCTTTAGAAACACAGTACCAACATTGGCGGGACAGCCCACGCTTGAATATATCACGGGTCATTTTCATCTCCTAATGATCTCTAAAGAGGAAATAATCAAAAAGAGGCAAATATAATAAACATACTAATAAATGATTTAGTACGATTCAGTCATCTTCATACCTTTTATTCTTTCTTCGTTAGAGGCCACGCAAGATGTGGAAAATGTACCGAAGATCGTATTTGATACAGGTTTTGTTACAGCATATCTTGTCAGCCTTAGTTGGCTCAATTTGCGAAGCTTCAAACAGTTTTGAAGTTGCAAGAAAGACTCATTTTTTTTTTTCATTTTGTATAAGCGATGTTTGCTACATGTTTCTTTAATCTTTCCACGTAAAATAAATATTTGCTTGTTCTCGCCGCCTGTACAATATTGTTGAAATGTATTTTCGCCATGTATATTCACAATGACACACCTATATGGGCTGCGCGCAAGTGCATATGCGGTGCTCAGTCGGTGTAACTATTTGCTATAATAGTGATCCTATCTTAGTTATGAGAGGGCTTTCGGTACTTCTGTATGTATCCTATTTTTAAGCCTCAGCATACAGTTCGAAATAGTAGATATGCAAAATTATTGGCTAAAAAATAAAGTAATTCAAGCATCTGATCGTGCTTCAGTGAAGCTCGTGGATACTTATCGGCTTTTGAAAAGGCAACTAACCCGCTCAATGGACTGGTTGGATATTTTAATTAAAACGTTTATGGTAGGGACATTGTAAAACAATGAACATACTTACATTGTTTTAGACTTTGTGTCGTACCATTTTGATGTGTATGTAGCGCTCTTCAGTGTGTAATTGAGGTCACTTGTTTGCACTTGAAGACAAGTAAGATCTCTGTAATGTTTTTCGGTCCCCAACCCGCTACTATAAATGAGATAATAGCTCTGGTTCGCCATACTCTTGATTGTCTGAAATATATATACATAAATGTTTCTTATTATTTTTACGTCAATTAAGCGCTGTCCTCAGGTATAGCTGAGTATGCACTGATAAAGGCATGATGTGAAGACGCTTCTACTCAAAGCTAAGCTACTCAAAGCCACCCCGCCAGCCACCCCACCGTCTGAGGGGTGGCTGGCGGGGCGACCCTAGGGGTCTCCCGTTCAGTCATTAACACATGCTTGGGCAAATAAATATTGTTTACTACTACTACTACTGCGTTCATAATAAACTGGGATGAAAATCGTGAAAACGCACACTCCACTCTCATCCACGCAGTCTACGAGTGAAAACACGTAATTGATTCTCTAGAAGAATAAAAGTGACAAATGTAGACTCGACGTAAAAAGAAACTAAAAGCTTTAAAAACAATATTCGTGCTTGTAATAATATCATTAATGAACAAAAAATGTCCAAAGAAAGAAACAAACAGGCAATATTGATATTAAGTAACAAAAATGGCCGCGTTGATTTACCTTCATTCAGCTGGTTTTGATTATAGGCATCACGTTTTATTTTATTAACCTTTGAAATTTGCGCCACCTGGGAAACCACGATATCAAGCCGCTGCCAATAAAATAAAACTGCTTTCTTTTCAAAGGTTAAAAACTTCTACGCATCCTCGAAGGCTCAGAATTTGTCCACATATAACGCAAGACGTTATTGAAAAATAAGATTTAAGAACAAATTGTAACTAATGGTTCCGGTTATAACATTTTAAGGGTATCGGATATTTTTTATTACGCAGTGAGGTTTGTTTTCTGCAGGGGCATTATTCGGGTACATGTATTCACAAGGTCATCCGGCTGCCATTTCCTCACTAATATAAAGAGGATCTCAACTAAAACAGCAATCGCTTTATGAACAGGCAGATAGCTAATATCGTTACAATAACTGATATTCCCGGTGAAAATAAATCATACCTTCCACGCGTCCTGCATCGCACCAAGGTTTTTTCTGTTCAGGTCAGGATTGTTGTCCGGCGGTCTCTTCCAACTTTGAAACTCTACGTCGGCGTATGCCGCAGAAACGCTTAGGCAGAACACCAAATGTTTGAGCGCCAGCATCGTTGACGACCTCTCAGACGCAGTGGCAATATGGGCAGGCGTGTTCGCTTTATATAGTTTCCCCGATTACGTAATTCTTGGAAGAATCGAAATGTCTTTTCTTTTTGTGTTGTGAAAAGAAACACTCACTTGTGTGCACTTACAAATATCACGCTCTCCCACCTTTTTTTTTTTGAATAGGTGGGCGTGTCTCTTTTCATTTTGTCAGGCAGTGAATCCCCCGCTTGCAAGGATAATCAATACCCTAGGACCCAGCATGACATCATGCGCAGCAGCAACGCCTAAAAAATAACTCAGTCCCAGACTGCCTTGCGAACCGGCGCTGCTCTCGTCGTCTGCTCGCTGCTCGGTCGGCTCAATTGGCTACGTGAGGCTTCGACTACGTCTGCTCCACGCCTGTGGTCTGTTTCGTCTGCCCGTTGTTACGGCTGCTTTTCGACACGATCACGGCACACAATAAATAATAATAATAGTAATGTTTATTTCTCCATCATGCACAAGTACATGATGGAAGGGGACTGAGGAAAAAAGCTGCATTTGTGCAGCTTGACGAGTCCCGAGCCCCCCTCCCTGATGGGCAACAGCGGCAGGTCACAGAAAAAAAAATACACAGGTCAGTAAATCAATGTACAAAATTACAATTTAGCAGATAAATTAGCACTGCTAAGAAGACAGTTTACTAAAAAAAAACAAGTGCAAATTCAAGGGTTCAATATATTCAAGACATTCAAGATTTAAGACATATAGTACGACTATGTAATACTTTACTTATCCACTAAATGCATTCGCAACGGGTATAACTGTAACTTATAAATGAGGGAATTGAGTGGAATATTTACTTAGTCATTGCTACGCAAGTTACTCTACAAAAGAAAACAATCTCTGAGATATTTTACTGTTTATTTTAAAGGATCAATATGATAAGTACTAAGGTAATTAGGTAAGGTCGGAAGCACGTTGGATAGCATTTGCTCAACATATGTTGTTCTGCAACTGGGGACTCTCCAGTTGTCTAGGCTATGTTGTCAATTTCAGCGATAAGGACGCTAGTTCACTAAGATTGATAGCATTATTTTTGATTTCAGACCTATAACTTAGACATCACCGATATTTATAATTATTGTAAATATGGATTAAATTTAAGTTAGTGAACAGAGGCTTACTAGGGTAATCTTATAAAAGATTAGATATTATTCGCAGCAGTTTTTCTTGTAGCATAAGTATATTGTTCAAATTTGCCATTGTATTATTTCCCCAGACGAGGTGACAGTAATGTATACGTGAAAGAAATAACGAGTTCTAGATTAACAATTTAGCATTTTTTTGGCCAAATAGAGCGGTGACGATACATTATGCCAATCACACGTGACAGCGTTACCAAGATATGATTTAGATGTTCATTCCAAGTCATATGTTGCGTGAAAACAACTCCAAGAGTCTTAAAACTGGTAAACACTTCTATTTTTCTCGAATTCAAAACGATATCTCTCGTAATAGCTGCATGTTTATTTTTCGGTTGAAACAAAATAGCCTCAGTCTTGTTCACGTTGATCTTTAAAGCGTTAGCTTAATTCCTACTACTAAACTTCTGCAGAGTTTGATTCGCCCAATGGGCTAAGTCATCACAGCAAGCACCTGTGACTAACAAACTTGTATCGTCACCATAGATGATATGTTTGGTATTTTTTTCTACGTTCACGATGTCATTAATATATAAGTTGAACAAAAAAGGGCCTAAAATACTGCTTTGTGGAACACCAGATATGATCGGTTGGATATCTGAAGAGTACCCGTTGATATGAACATATTGTTCACGATGAGCAAGATATGATGAAATGATAGTTGACGCTGGTCCGCGAAACCCCCACCTTTCAAGTTTCTTTATCATCAAGTCATGGTTTAAATAATCAAGGAGTTTCGTAAAATCATCGAAAATACCAAGAGTCGTCTGTTTATCCTCGAAGGTACGCAAAATGCATTCATTTTGTTCCAGAAGGGCCAGTTCTGTAGACCGGCCTTTACGAAATTCGAATTGCAAAAAAGTGAATATATTATTTTTTTCCGCAAATGTTACCATACGGGACAACAAAAGTTTCTCAAAACCCTTTGAAAAAACAGATAAAATTGAAATAGGCCTATAATTCCCGAAATCGTTTTTGTCATCCTTTTTGTACAAAACCGTTACCCTTGCGATTTGCATTCTCATGGGGAATTCCCCGGCCAGCAAGCACAATTTAAAAATATACGTCATACAGGGAGATATTATGTCCAAAACGTATTTATTGGCTCCATTTTCATGTCGTCAGCGTCGCAACTTTTACTATTTCTTAATGACAAGAATGCAAGCGTCACCATGACTTGCACAACTGGCAGAAGAAATATGGAACCCTCAGATTGATTTTCAATGTAAGCGCAGGCGTTTGTTCCTGGGTTATCTCTTGGCAAGTTCACAAATTAATTATTAAAGGCGTTTGCCAGCTCACGATCTCTTAGGTCTGTGCCATATGCACAAATTTTATCTATTTGTTTTATTTCAGATGAACGATTAATAACATTATTAAGCTTTTTCCACATGACGTCCGGTCTTTGTGCTGATGATATAAATGAGTTGTTAAAATATCTTTCTCTAGCACTCTTTAATTCTTTTGTAAGTTTATTACGGTAGACCTTATAGACCTTAAGAAATTCAGGCTCTCTCGTTTTCACGAAAGCGATGTACAATATGTTTTTGTTATTTGTCTTGACTAGCAGCTCTCGAGTAACCCATGGCTTACGAATTTTCCTTTGTAGCTTAACTGATTTATATAGGAAGCAAGCTTTATATAGGTGCAGGAATTTATTGAAAAACACATTGTACTCCTTATCTGCCCCATCATTTTCATACACTTCAGTCCAATCCAGGCAAGAAAGTTCTCGCCTAAACGTAGAAAGATTATTTCTTGTGATATTCTGAAAATATGAACGTTTATTTGTACTATCTTTGACAAGCTGTTTTTTTATACACATGAAGACACATAGGTGGTCGCTTAGGTTAGTAGTGATTATTCCTGATCTTATATATGGTAGGCTATAACTTGTGATGAGAAAATCAAGTGGTGTTCTATGACACGGCGAATTTAATGAGATTTTGATATTTGTTGAGCAGGAATCGTTGAAAACTTTCCATGTGCAGTTTATTCATTCCAGAAAAGAATGCTTTATTGTCCTGTCTTCTCCCACGAGCCCTCCTGTTCTGCACCAGTGTTGACGAAACGGCACTCCTGGAACGCATTCCTTTTACGAGGAATGGAGGAACGCCGGTGAAACTGGAACTGGAACTTATTACATTTTGAAAAAAAAACTGCAGAAGGAACGAATATTTTTATATCTATATTTGAATATTTATTTGGACCTATAGTGGAGATTTGTTGTCAGTAATAGGTTATGAGTTAAGTGGGAGCTCCTCCCTTCTTTTTCCACATTTGCAGAGCGAACGCTTGAAAGGTGGTTACTTCTCCAACATTCGCTCTTGTAAAGTGGAGAGAAGTGAGACTCGCTTCTATTTACACTCTTAACTTGTCACTGACTATAATTTTTTTTATTATTATCGCCAACTTCAATCTCAGATTTAAAGAATTAGGCAGTGTCCGAAAGCTATTCGAATGGAAAGAACTGGAACAAATGTGACCTGACGTTGGGATGTTTCCTAACCAACTCGCCTGAACACGTTTGCTTCTGACAATTCGATACGTAGTTCGACATGCATATATTTTCGCTTGTTCGCTTTATTTTATTTACGCATTATCTAGCACAGTACTTGAGTTAAATACGCAATTGTGCAATTAACTGAACGACACTTTACATCATACAAATGCAAAGTGAACGAATACCTTTCGAACCATTGTAACTTGTGACGGGAAATCGTTCCAAGGTTGAGAAGGAACGATAAAAGAACTTTCGTTCTTGTCTTGGAAGAACTTGTACAGCACTTTCTTACACTGTATTTTTTTCCGTTATGTGTAACCAACTAGCCTGTTAGTTGGTGTTAATATTTTCTTTAAAGGAACGCATTTAGGCGCAAAAACAATGCGTATATACATATACACAGAATGCTTAAGCAAAGCCTGAAAAAAGTTCCTGAAATTAGAGCATTCGAGGTAAAAAGATAATTCCCTCGGCACCGCATTACTTGTGGTGGCGGACGTCAGAAAGGGCGATATACTTATTATTAGTTTGTTAATTAATTAAAGCATGACTAATTCACTTTTTAATAATTGCAAATAGACATATGGTTCCATTTAGAGACTTGCTGAGCCTCGTCGAAAACCACCAAATTAGTGATCTTTAGAACGAAATTTAGCGCGTGAGAAGTGTAGTAGTGCGCTAAAGTTACCACTCGTGGAGCACGGGCGCGAGAACCTACTGCCGCGAAACCCTCTATCGGACAGCACACCAGCGGACTTCGCCCCTTCATAGCTCGTCTGACAGCGCTCTGACCGCCACAAGCTGACGGGTTGTCACGTGTTTTTTGTTTATTGTTTTGCGGGCATTTGTTTTTAGATTAATAAAAAAGAAGCTCGCAAAGCGTATTATGTAGGAAACATTTCAATTAGGCGTTTCCCAATGTGCTCTGCAACTCTCCAATTCACACCTCGGCTCTTAAACAAAAAAAGCTAATTAGTCCTAATTAACTATATAACTTGGCGCATAAGAAATATTACGTATTTTCCCAAACGCTTGCTAACAACATACAGGGTTCTGCACTGTCGCAGAACGCTCCGTTATTTTTATAGTTTGCTGCCAGTTATGAGTCACTATCGTTCACAAAAGTGGCAAGAAACACCTGGATGCCGATGGACTGTCTCGTTGCCCTCTTCCACAGAGTACCCTCACCGACGACATCGACGACGATTTACCTAGCGTCAGTTCCCTAACACACACAAAAATCACCTCTGCCCAGTCAGAAGTTCCTTGGAGCACTAAGATAATTCGTAGCCTCCCTAGTTGAGTTCAAGACACTAAGTT